GGGCTAGATGCCAAGACCTCATTATGCATGTCAATAATTTATTTTAATTAAAATACTGAAAATAACGATATAATGTTACTTAAATCATCCCTTAGAGTAAGTGAATCAGTGTCAATTGACTCATGTTCGAATTGTTGGATTTCTTAGCCTAATTGATTAATGTTATATATAATCCACTAAGACCAACTCCAATGAGTTATCAAACATGGTATTCAAACAATTAACCACTATTTATATACCGAAAAATAGAAATGTTTAACTCCAATGGGTTATCAAATTAGGGTTCTATTTTGATAATTCAACTTTTGGAATGTAAAAATATTTGTTGGAAATTGAGTTATCAAAAGTGTAAGTATCTAAACATCCAATCAAAAGCGGACATGTGGCAATTACAAATAAAATCACTCATAAACTTCTAATTGATAACTAATTTGATAAACATGGTTGGAGTAGATGAATTTTAAACAATAGTAAAATATTTACTCAAATATCAAATAAATATTTGATAATTCGATTTTGGTATTTATAATTGGAGTTGCTCTAAGCCCTTTCTTCATCTAAGGTGACCATTGATTCCACCAAATGATTTGAGCAATCCATTTCAAGGTACTAAACTTCCTAGTGGGAAAAGAAGACACAATTTGAATCTTCGTTGTTATGTGATTTCTATTTTTTTGTGTGCGCTTGAGAACTACTCGAGAGAGAGAAATACATATGAGAGATGCAAATCGGTGTGAGATGGGGTATGAGTGAGAGTCTTAACCAAAATCTGAGTGATTCCGGTTAACCTAGGGTTCTGGTGACTGTGCTTTTGTGCTGAGCTTATTGGGTGCCCACCACCGATGGATTCTGGACGAAAAAAATAGACAAGAAAACTGAGCCATAAACAGAAAGCTCTTCATAGCTTCTTTGTTTTTGATTCCTGTCCAAGAACGGTTTTATGTTCCTTATACGTGTTTTCACTCTCATGTTCTTAGTTGGAATTCTGTAACCCCAATACCCTTTACCAAAGATTATTATGTCGAATTTGTCTCACATTGTTAGCCTAGTATAATTTGCGTCTATCGTATGGTTTGCAATCTAGTATACAAGAGTGAATAGGTAAGCAATAATAAATTAATAAATTAGGGGAACAAAATCAAATAAATATAATTAATATCAAACCACAACATGTCAAAAGATACAAATTCTTGCATCTGAAAACAAACCATCTCCAGATGCAATGTTGTTAAATTAGCCAAGGATTCCAAATACATTTTAGAACCCTTTCTTACATAGATCCAAACAAACAAACCCCTTTCATTTAATCTCCCAATAGATTAAAAAGGGTCCCAAAATAAAAATAAAAATAAATAAATAAAATAAAAATCCAAGTCAGTGTGTGTAAACTTACTACAACAGCAAACAAGTGATCAACAACAAATTGGGCACTGAATCAACCCATTCTCATTGCACTTGTTACACTTGACACTCTTCTTCCCATCCTCCCCCAAAATCTTACAGCTCCCATTGCAATTCACACACATCAGAAACCGAATCCCGGCACATCCGCCGCAGCTGGCGGCAGCCGCCCTCGGGATCCCGTCGAGCAAAATACCCAATTTGCCCTCCTCGTCCAACTTCACCAACTCATCCGCCCCACCAATCAACCTCCCCTTCACAAACACAAGCGGCACTCTCACCTCTTTGCTACTCATCAGCCCCCTCAGCTCCTCCTTGTAACCCGAGTGCATCGAAACGTCCCGCTCGAACATTTGGACTCCGTGCGACTCGATTACGGATCTCGCCACGTTGCAATCCTCGAAAGTCTTCCTTATACCCCTCAGCGTCGTCGTGTAAATCACAACCGCGGTTTCCCCGCCCGGCGGGCATTTCTTCTTGTACGAATCAAGATCAAGAACCGCCGCGGTCGAGGAATTCATCGAGCCCGACTTCTTGATCTCTTCCTCGGTGCAAAACAACGGGCCCAGACTCCTCCTCTTCGAGAAATCGATACCCGAATCGCATCTTTTGACATTCGGGCTTCCTCTTATAGATGCCCACAATCTTGGAGATGGTTTTCTTACAGTGTTGTCCTTCAAAACGTTGCACTCTTTGAAAACTGTTTTCGGGCTATTATCCAGTGATTTTGTTCCGCCATTAATTCTTCCTCTATTCTCCTTTCCCCCAACTTTCTTGACTTTCTTCGGAGAACCCATTTGATTCAAGAACTTCAGCGGGCTTCTAGGATCCATATCCGAAAACCCACGAAGGAAGAGCCTCGATTTCGGGCTTTTTTTCGACTGAACCGAACCGGGCCCTCCATCTTCGAGGCCTTCCATCAGCTCCCACGTGTTGATGATCTCCGATGGCTGATCTTCACGAGACGGCGACGTTTTGATCATCACCTCCGCTGTGGGTTGTATGATCTTCTTCACTACTTCGGCTTCTTGATTCTCCTTCTCCGGTGGCGGCAGCGGCGGCGGAGCTTGCTTTTCGCCGCCGTCGAGGTTGAGGGCGCCGTAGGTGGTTGATGTGAGGGAGACGAAGTGGTGGGTGTATTCCGTGCTTCTTCTGTAGAGATTTTCTTGTTCGATTTCCTTGGCCACCATTTTTGATGAGACGCAGCCCATTTTCTTGTTTTTTTCTGGGGAGTGGTGGGGTGATTTTCAGTTTGTTTTATTTATTTGAAATGTGCTCTGTTTTTTTTAAGACATAATAAGGCAACGGTCGGAATTTTCGAAGGGAGAATTATAATTTTGTCCCTATGTTTGGCCGAATTTCAGTTTTGGTCCCTCTATTTCTAAAGTTAACAAATTTTACCTACATAGTTCAATTTTAAACACATTTAGTCCCCCTTCACGTGTCTGTTCACATTTAACGGAAAACACTATTTTGTGGCAAAAACTGAAATTAAAAAACTTTTTTGGGGCTGGAAAACAATTAAAAAATGAAAGTACTATTTATAATCAATCTATTAATAATATTAAGTATAAAAAATTAAAAATATTTAATAATATTTAATTGTCAAAACGAAGATGACGACGGGACTTTTTTTTTTGATTTATTTTATATACATACATATCAATTTGTTTTTTAAAATTAAAATATTATTCAAAAAAAATTCTAATGTATCTATATTTATTTTTTTGCATTTTATTATTGAAAATTAAATATTATTCAATTTCGTTTGATTATACTAAATATTATTAAAAACAAATTAATTATAAATAATATTTTTCATTTTTAATTGTTTTCTAGCCCCAAAACAATTTTAAATTTTATTTTTCGGTCTCAAAATAGTGTTTTCCGTTATATCTGAACGGACACGTGTCCGTTCAAATATTTTTAACCATTTGGTTTCCCTATTTCCGTTATTTCCAAAATTATATCTGAACGGACCAAATGTGTTTAAAATTAAACTTTTGAGGTGACATTTATCTACTTTGGAAATAGGGTAACCAAAGTGAAATTGGGAGAAAGATGAGGGATGAATAGTGTAATTCTCCTGAATTTCGAACAATGTAAAATTACACGAGGGCCCCTCATATGTTTTCTTATTTGTGAAAAGGTCCCCATTAGTGTTTTGTTTATCGCGAAGTGGGCCGAGACAAAGTGTAAGTGGGTTAAAAGGAAAATAACAAAATTGTATTAAAACGAGGTCGTTCGATTTGAATCCAAGTGAAGTCGGTACAAAACTAAAAATAGGAAAACCATACAATTGTATATTTTCATTTTGAATAGAAAATATACAATTTTTTGGTCAATACAAAAATTAAACCTTTTTATTTTTTTTCTATATTTTTATTATTTGACTTATTTACTAGTCACTTCTTCTGTTGTTTTTTGTGGAAACATTTTGATTATTTTAATGTGGTTTAATTAGTATAATCTAATAGTTAGATACTTAGATATCCTATGTCAATAACATTGAGATGGAAAGGAGCTAGATATAGTTATGCAGTTAACTCTCTATACATGGTCAATTACGACTTTTTTTAACATGTTATTTAATTAATTGAAATGTTATCTTATTGTATAAATATTTAATAATTTGTGTAAAATATTGAGGATGTATTGTGTATTACAATGAGAAGTTGATAGGATTTGGAAGGTTTATATTGGGAATTTTATATTGGGAAATATAAGAATCTATAGTGTCGAATCTAAGAATTTATATTGGGAAATTTTCAGTTTTCATTCCTCAAGTTTGCAACGATTTCACAATTGGTCCTTCCAGTTTAAAAAAAATCATATACTCCATTAGTACTTATATATTTGAATAATTGTTATCCAACATTCCTTCATGACCGAGAACAAGGCAATATCACCAATTCGTTTATGATTAAAAGTATTCAGTGGCTAAACTAGGATTTTATCTTTGGGGAGGACCGAATGTACATTAAAAAAATAACGTAAGAAAAAATAATGAACAACAATGATTTTTCTAAAAGTAGTGAATTCAGGATTTTGTTATATATATAAGGTGAGTTTAAATTTTCAAGAGTTGGGGACGGTGCCCCTGAAAAACATGTTATGACCTTTTCTTTCATATTGAATCTCAGAAGAACAAATGAGAGAGAGAGGAGAGAGAAACTAAAATCTGAATTAATTGAGAAAGAAGAAGAGTATAAATTATTTATACGTTTGAGAGAGTCCAACGTCTCTTTTATCTCAACCACATGATCATAATAGATAACTAACGTCTAATCTAACTGCTAAGATTACACAAATCATAACTGTTAGAATTCGAGAGGATTTTGATTTTGGTTTTTCAGCACGTGTGTGAAAAACGTGTGTCTAAAGCTAGGGAAGTTTCCTTAATACTTTAAACTCTTATTTTGTCATTAATTTATTTAATTGTATAAGTCATGTGTTAACAATGAATTTCCTTGACAAAGACTTTCCTTATTACACAATTCCTTTTCCTTACGTAAGATTGAAACTAACCTAATGGGCTCTAATCTTTTGTAGGGCTCTTCTATTCAACCAATGAAGTATAAATATAGGAGCACCAACGTGTTGTAAGGCTGTCCCTTTTGTGTGAGAGAAAAATAATTTTCTGCTCTTTACGTTGCTGCTCATGATATTTGATCTTATTCGAGAAGAGAAATATATTCAAAGATTTGCTTCTTTCACGTAAAAAGAAGATCGGTTCTTCAGGAGGAGAACTTAGAAGATCTCGGGAGGAGGTTGATACGCCGACTGAGGGACTCAGCGTTGAAGGAATTTCAACCGTGCAGAACAAGGGACGTGTTGCAAAGTGAAGATTGATAATTCAACGTAGTATACAAGAACGGCGTCGACAAAGATGGAGTCTTTGTATTTCGATTAAGTCCTATTATTGTATTCGTAAAACTAAAAATTAGTAAATTTCATTTGCAGGTCCCCGTGGATGTAGGGTACAATTGTATCCGAACCACTTTAAAATTTGTGTCTTTTTATTACTATTTCATTAACTGTTGCAACTCTCTGTAAAATAGTAAAACAATATCTAAAACTGAATCGGGGATTCATCCGACACAAATATATAAATAATTTGCACGAAATGATTCTAACAATTGGCATCAAGAGCCTGTCACTAAATACATCTAGTGAGATTTTGGGAACTAATTACTCTTATTTTGTGCAGATATGAACACTCAACGAGAATGAGCTTCAACTACTCGTCCACTTCTCCTAATCGGCTCCAACTACTCATACTGGAAATAAAAAATGAAGATGTTTATCAAATCCATAGATGAGAGAGCATGGCGTGCCATCATAACTGGTTGGACACCTCCCATGATCAAAGGAGAATACAAAGTTGCAGATTGGAGTGATGGAGAGATACTACTCGCAAACTACAACTCAAGGGCCCTAAACGCAATCTTTAGTGGTGTGGATGATAATCAGTTTAAACTAATAGCATCATGTGAATCTGCAAAAAGAGCTTGGGAAATTCTCCAAGTTACATACGAAGGAACGTCAACTGTAAGGACATCCAAGTTACAGATGTTGGCCACCAAATTTGAAAATTTAAGGATGGAGGAAAATGAGACGATCAATGACTTCCATGCTAAACTATGCGATATCTACAACGAATCATACGCACTCGGTGAACCTTACTCAAAAAGCAAATTTGCGAGAAAAGCAATGCGTTCATTACCTGAAAGATTTGCTTACCGAATTGCTGCTATTGAAGAAGTCAGAGATGTTGACACGCTCAAACTAGACGAACTCATGGGGAAACTTCTAGCACTAGAACTCAATCATGGTGAAAATCATCGTGAAAAGCCTAGAGAAAAGAAGATAGCCTTTGAAGCAGAAACTTCATATGCAACTCTCCAAAATTCTTCAACTCAATAAGATGAGCAGACGGTTGAAGAATCCTTGGCACTACTGTCGAAAAACTTTGGGAAATTTCTCAAAAAGATCGGTAAAAATGGGAACCCTCCCAACACAGGGAAACCCGTGAACTTTCAAAATCCTAGGAGAAACTCAAATCAAGATAACTCAGAGGAGTCAAAACCGAGAAGAATACAATGCCGAGAATGCGAAGGCTTTGGTCACATTCAATCAGAATGCGCAAACACCCTGAAGAAAAAGAAAAGAATGTCACTTACTACTGGTTGGAGCGATGAAGAAGACTCTGATGATGATCAATGAAACAACGATCAGGTCACTAACTTTGTAGCATTCAGCAGCAAAGTTCCTCTGAACAGCTCAGAATCAACTGTTGCAACAGTCTGTGAAGCAGAATCCAGGTATTAAATTGTGTGTTCTGATAATGACAAAAATCTAAACACAGATTCTTCTTTTGCAGAGGATCCAGACAGCAGCAGTGATGAGGAAGAAGCAACCTTGGAAGAAGTAAAAGAGGTATACGAAAAAATGTACCAAAAATGGCTTGACGTTGTTAAGGTAAATGACTTCTTAGAAAAGGAGAAGCTTGTGCTTATAGAGGAAAGCAAAACTCTAAAGGTAAGAATTTCTACTCTTAAAGAGAGAGTCACATCAAGTGATCAAGTGAAAAATAGTTTGGAAGCTAAACTTACTCAAACCCAAGAAGCAATTGCAAAATTGAACACGGGTAGAGGTAATTTAGATGAACTTCTAAATAACAATAAACCGAACTATAATCGTCTAGGCATAGGAGCAAGTCAGCTGCCCAAAGTTGATCTAAAACAAAAAGAAAATCAAAACAGAAAGATCAACTTTATTAAACAAACTCCTGTCTCACAAACAGTTCCAACTGTTGGAGCAACGACGCTCCATTCTAGGAAAAGGTTTATTCCTATTTGTTTTTTCTGTCAAAATCCAGGTCACATACGCCCTAAATGTTTCAAATATTTAAAACTTGTGAAAAAACTAGTAGCTCGCTCTCTGTATTCCGGTAGGACTGGGTACTCATCTGCACCCCCTCAAAAACCAAAAAACAAAATTGATATTTCCAACAGGCCTTAGCAAAAGATTTGGGTTGAAAAGTCCACGTTTAAATGTTTATCTGCCATTACTTCCTTAAAAGCAAGTACTGCTAATGATTGGTATTTTGACAGTGGATGTTCACGACATATGACCGGTGTTAAAGAGTTTCTGAAAAATTATCAGCAAATCACCGGTGGAGCTATTACCTTTGGAAACGGGAAAAATAGCGAAGTACTAGGGAAATGATCGCTAAATCATGAGAATCTGCCAAAGCTGAAGAATGCACTACTTGTAGAAGGACTTACGTCTAATCTGATAAGCATCAGTCAGCATGTGATCAAGATCTTGAAGTCAGATTCAACAAATTCGCATG